AGCACAAATACTGTGACATATTACAGTCCATAGATGTGCCAGTGATGCTGCAAATTGCAAAACAGCAACGAATCCAGCTCCAATACAGTGCCAGGGGATCCAGTGACCACTCCATCACCACTATGTACTCACCAGAAAGCTGCTGGTATAGTAGCAAAAACCGATGGTCGCTATACACAACCCTGGGGTGGAGATCCTCCTAGAAAGAAAGCAAAATAGCCGCCGCTCCGGATCACAGACACGACAGCGTGACGTCAGCACATAGGCTCCACCCAAACGTGTTTCGTGCGCATGCACGTCCTCAAGGGTACGCCCATTTGTACATTTATACAATGTGTACATTGTCCATGCTAAATTGCTGGGAAGGATAGATCGTTTTTTGTGCTCGTGTGTATTGTATACATATTTTGTGATACGTTGCATGCCGTGAAGTGTTTTTCCTACAAGTGATTGCAGCATTTTTGTGTCTTAAGGCAAATGAATGCTTGTTTTTACCACAAAGTAACCTTAAAAGACAAAGCAAAGCACCTATGCCCACACAAAGGAAGATTTTCCCCATTATGTATCCTAAACAGGGGCGGACTGACCATTCGAAAACTCGGGCACTGCCCTAGGGCCCGGGGTCAGTAAGGGGCCCCATGAAATGCCCCTGGTAGCTTTCATATGCTTTTTTGGGTGTGGTTTGAGTGTGGGCAAGGACACAGGGGCCCCATGATCCCCTATTGCCCAGGGGCCCCATGAGTTGTCAGTCCGCCCCTGTTCCTAAAGCCTTCTCAGAATTATTTGCAGTTGGCATTTTGTTCTCTTTTAGATCCGACATGCCGTTCTGCCGTCTTCCTCCTCTCCCATTCATCAAAGGGTTAATGCACAGAATATAACCAACGCAATGTGCGCCTCTTTGTCAAGGCCAATCAGACTAATAAAATTAGTCTGCACCATCTGTTGTGTCCTGACTGATTAGATAATTTGTACAAACAAGCAACAACGCAGAAGACCCGTCACAGAAAATGGAGGAAAGAGAGGAATAACAACAGGAGACAGCTTCATCCAAAGAGAATGGTATAAATAGACCCTTCAAATGTATTAAAGCCCAACTCCCAACATACTCCACTCTTGCAGTGCACTTCTAGTTTGGTCCAAATCCAAAGGAAGAAGAAGAAGAAGAAAGAAGAGGACAGAAGAAGAAGAAGGAAGAAGAAAGAAGAAGAAAGAAAAAGAAGAAAGAAGAAAAAAAAGAAGGAAGAAGACGAAGGAAGCAGAAAAAGGAAGAAGCAGAAGAAAGAAGAATGAAGAAGGAAGAGGAAGAAGAAAGAAGGAAGAAGACGGAAGAAGAAGACGAAAGGAAGAAGACGAAAGGAAGAAGACGAAAGGCAGAAGACGAAGGAAAAAGAAGGAAGAAGACGAAGGAAGAAGACAAAGGAAGAAGAAGAAGAAGGAAGAAGAAGAAGAAAGAAGAAGAAGGAAGAAGAAGAAAGAAGGAAGAAGACGGAAGAATAAGAAGGAAGAAGACGACGAAAGAAGAAGAAGAAAGAAGAAGACGAAGAGGAAAGAAGGAAGAAGAAGAATAAAGACGAAGAGGAAAGAAAGAAGAAGAAGAAGAAAAGAAGGAAGAAGACGTAAGAAGAAGACGAAAGGAAGAAGACGAAGGAAGAGAAGGAAGAAGAAAGGAAGAAGAAGAAGAAGGAAGGAGATGAAGGAAGAAGGAAGAAGAAGAAGAAGAAGAAGGAAGAAGACGAAGGAAGAAGAAGAAGGAAGAAGAAGAAGAAGAAGGAAGAAGAAGAAAGAAGGAAGAAGACGGAAGAATAAGAAGGAAGAAGACGACGAAAGAAGAAGACGAAGAGGAAAGAAGGAAGAAGAAGAATAAAGACGAAGAGGAAAGAAGGAAGAAGAAGAATAAAGAATAAGAAGGAAGAATAAGAAGAAAGAAGGAAGAATAAGAAGAAAGAAGGAAGAAGAAGGAAGCAGGAAGAAGAAGGAAGAAGGAAGAAGAAGGAGAAGGAAGAAGAAGAAGAAGGAAGAAGGAGAAGGAAGAAGGAGAAGGAAGAAGGAGAAGGAGAAGGAAGAAGGAGAAGGAAGAAGGAGAAGGGAGAAGGAAGAAGGAGAAGGAAGAAGGAGAAGGGAGAAGGAAGAAGGAAAGGGAAAGAAGGAGAAGGAAGAAGAAGGAAGAAGGAGAAGGAAGGAGGAAGAAGAAGGAGAAGGAGAAGGAAGAAGGAAGAAGAAGGAGAAGGAAGAAGGAAGAAGGAAGAAGAAGGAGAAGGAATAAGGAAGAAGGAGAAGGAAGAAGAGGAAGAAGAAAGAAGAAGAAAAAACGGAAGAAGATGAATGAAGAAGACGAAAGAAGAAGAAGAAAAAGACATTGTACTGCACACACCTTCTGTTCTGCCATTATTTATTTTGCAATGTGTGTAGAGTGCCCAGTGCCCGCAGTTGGGTGGAGTGCACCTGTACCCAGATTATGCACAATAAAGTATCAATAAACCCACAATATTAAAAACTAACAAAATGCTGTATTGCCAGCTGTTCTTACTCAGACGTTATGGGACTCATTTTCTGCAGACTGCAATAAACAAGGTTTATTCTACTGTTCACTGTCCCTCCTATCTTGTCCGTGTCCCTGCGGCAGCCTGAGATTTTGCATCTACTGAGCATGCTCCAGTTTCAGTTCCCTTAAAAGCTATCCATTCCCTCCTTTTTCTTATCTGTGCAGCCCATGTGACTATAGAGTCACACAGCTGGGTGTGTACACTCTGGATAAATGGCAGTCCCACTCCTTCCTCCTTCATGCCCACTAAGTCCTCATGCACACTTGACATTTTTACAGCGGCTGTATTTGGCTTTTGATGTTTTTTTTCTACAGCCAGTAAACCCCCCAGCATGTTATCCTCAGTGTCCATAGATTGGAATCAACGTTCTTTGGGCTGGAAAAAAAAACAGGACTAGTGGGCTTCTAGAGAGGTTTATTAGCTGTAACGCTGAATGCTCTAAAACGCTGAAAAACGCTGCAAAATGCAGTGAAACATGGTAAAACATGGTAAAATTTGTTTTAAAAAATGGCTTGAGTCCACCCCCCCCAAAAAAAAAAATCCATAACTTATCTGAGAATGCAACCTGGCAGGTCAGGAAAGGAGAGGACGATCAAATGTCCCCCCTACTGAACCATACACCAGACAACATGCCCTCAGCAGGGGGTGGAGTGATTTAGGGCAGAGGGGGACCCCCCAAAAGCACCTTGTCCCTATGTTGATGAGGACAAGGGCCTCTTCCCCACAACCCTGGGCTGTGGTTGTGGTGGTCTGCAGGTGACTTATCGGAATCTGGAGACCTCCTTTACCAAGGAGGCCCCCAGATCCTGCCCCCCCCCATGTGAATGAGTAGGGGTACCCCTACTCATTCACCAAAAAAGTGTAAAAAGTGAATGCAAACACCACATTTTTTGACAAGGCCTTTTATACACTTTTTTTAATTGTCCCTCAAAAGCAGATCCAACATCAGTTACAATGAACGTTGCCACCACCACCACCCAAAAAAAATAAATAAAAAGCTTTGTCCTGACGAAGGCTCCTGCCATCTGACAGCTCTTTAATAAGCTAGGGGGCAGGACCACCCAGTGACCCCGCCCCTTGTGATGTCATCAATCAGGGAATGCTGCATCCTTGGCTTATTTAAGAGCTGCCAGATACCAGGAGCCTTTGTCAGGAGCGGAGCTCTTTTTTTTTTTTCTTCAGGTCGGCAGTGGAAGATGAAGAAAGAAGAAGAAGAAGACAAAAAGAAGACGGAAGAAGAAGAAGGAAGATGAAAGAAGAAAGAGAAGAAGGAAGAAGAAGAAGGAGGAAGACGGAGGAAGAGGAAGAAGAAGAAGAAGAAGAAGGAAGAAGAGGGAGGAAGAATAAGAAAAAGGAGGAAGAAGAAGAAGGAAGAAGAAGAAAGAAAAAGAAGAAAGAAGAAGAAGGAAGAAGACAAAAGAAGTAGAAGAAGGAAGAAGAAAGCGGAAGAAGATGGCGGTGGCGTTCATTGTGATTGATGTTAGATCTACTTCAGGGGACAATTTTTTTTTTTTTTGCTAAAAAACCGCCCGCCCACTCAGCTAAAGTCACACAAAGCAGAAAAAAATGCAAAATGCATAACAAATGCAAAAAACAGCATCAAAAACGAATGTGAAAAAAATGCACCCAGAAAATGCATCAAACGCAATCTGAACAGATCTGAACCTAGCCCAAAACAAGCTCTCGTTCACCTCTGTAGCTGTATGCATTGTGGAGAAATTCTTCAGAGTTCGCAACAGAGGCGCTGAATACACAGCTGTTCTCTTCGGGAGAGCAGAATCTTGGTAGCCTACCACTCTTATAATAGCAGTTGTTCTAAGCTGATAGAAACCTGAATTTTGAGTCCTGTTGTGGATTATTACTTCACGGTAGCTGCAGCTACAGAGGTCAGGGTGGTGTGTTTTAAAGCCCCTTTTACTGCAATGTTCACACAAGTATATGTGAACATTTTGTCCATAGTCTGGGAACAGGTGCACTTTACATCAACTGGACCAGCCAAGGATCCTCAGTTGACTATTTGATTGTTCGGCATTGATAAATTCTGTTCCTATTATATATTGTACCTTACAGGTAACAAGAAGCATCCATTCTTAACCAGTCATTGTAGACTTTAGAACCATTCTGCCTCCATTCTGCCACCATTCTGCCTCAATTCTGCCTCCATTGTAGACACCATGGAGTCTCACCACTCTTCCAAGTGGTGGAATAAGGCCCATTTTACACGGAAGAACTGATCAGCTCCGCCTATCAGTTTTTAGGTGGACCCAATCGGACTCTCCATCTATGAAGCAGCAGAGGTAAATGAACATGCCTACATCTGATCCTATCCACTAAACACAGACAGGTGAAGATCTGTTCCCCATCTGTCTAGCACAGTGGTCTCCAAACTGTGGCCCGGGGGCCACACACGACCCTTTGCTTGCTTTTATCTGGTCCTTGGGGCACTGTTTCATCTACTGATACCAAAAATTGGGTATAATTCCCCACACTTACAGCGATGAAGGGGGCACAAATCTTTCCAATGACACCAACGATGGGGCACAATTCCTCCCAGTGACACAATTGATAGGGTCCAATGACATCAATGATGGGGCAGAATTCCTCCCAGTGACACAAATGATAGGGTCCAATGACATCAATGATGGGGCAGAATTCCTCCCAGTGACACAAATGATAGGGTCCAATGACAGCAATGATGGGGCAGAATTCTTCCCACTAACACCAAACAATGGGCATTATTTTTTTCCACTGACGTCGGGACCTTTTCTACTCCCACTGGCTGCAGTCCAGCCCTCGTAAAGTCTGAAGGATAGTAAACTGGCCCTTTGTTTAGAAAGTTTGAACCCTTTCCTTGCTTTTATCTGGCCGTTGGGGCACTACTTCATCTACTGATACCAACAATTGGGTATAATTTCCCCCACTTACAGCGATGAAGGGGCACAACTCCTTCCAATGACACCAACGATGGGGCATAATTCCTCCCAGTGACACAATTGATAGGGTCCAATGACATCAATTATGGGGCACAATTCCTCCCAGTGACACAATTGATAGGGTCCAATGACATCAGTGATGGGGCACAATTCCTCCCATCAACACAAATGATAGGGTCCAATGACATCAGTGATGGGGCAGAATTCTTCCCACTGACACCAAACAATGGGGCATTATTTTTTTTCCACTGACGTCGGGACCTTTTTTACTCCCCCACTGGCTGCAGTCCAGCCCTTGTAAAGTCTGAAGGGCACTAAACTGGCCCTTTGTTTAGAAAGTATGGTTCTTTGCTTGCTATTATCTGGTCCTTGGGGCATTATTTTGTCTACTGATACCAACAATTGGGTATAATTCCCCCCACTTACAGCAATGAAGGGGGCACAACTCCTTGCAATGACACCAACGATGGGACACAATTTCTCGCAGTGACACAAATGATAGGGTCCAATGACATCAATGATGGGGCACAATTCCTCCCACTGATACAATTGATAGGGTCCAATGACATCAATGATGGGGCACAATTCCTCCCAATGACACCAAACAATGGGGCATTATTTTTTTTTCCACTGACGTCGGGACCTTTTCTACTCCCACTGGCCGCTGGACTAGCCCTTGTCTGAAGGACAGTAAATTCCCCCCACTTACAGCAATGAAGGGAGCACAACTCCTTCCAATGACCCTATGCTTGCTTTTATCTGGCCCTTGGGGCACTATTTCATCTACTGATACCAACAATTGGGTATAATTTCCCCCACTTACAGCGATGAAGGGGGCACAATTTCTTCCAATGACACCAACGATGGGATACAATTCCTCCCAGTGACACAATTGATAGGGTCCAATGACAGCAATGATGGGGCAGAATTCCTCCCACTGACACCAAACAATGGGGCATTATTTTTTTTTTTTCCACTGACGTCGGGACCTTTTCTACTCCCACTGGCCACAGTGCAGCCCTTGTAAAGTCTGAAGGATAGTAAACTGGCCCTTTGTTTAGAAAGTTTGAACCCTTTCCTTGCTTTTATCTGGCCCTTGGGGCACTATTTCATCTACTGATACCAACAATTGGGTATAATTTCCCCCACTTACAGCGATGAAGGGGGCACAATTTCTTCCAATGACACCAACGATGGGATACAATTCCTCCCAGTGACACAATTGATAGGGTCCAATGACAGCAATGATGGGGCAGAATTCCTCCCACTGACACCAAACAATGGGGCATTATTTTTTTTTTCCACTGACGTCGGGACCTTTTCTACTCCCACTGGCCACAGTGCAGCCCTTGTAAAGTCTGAAGGATAGTAAACTGGCCCTTTGTTTAGAAAGTTTGAACCCTTTCCTTGCTTTTATCTGGCCCTTGGGGCACTATTTCATCTACTGATACCAACAATTGGGTATAATTTTTCCCCCACTTACAGCGATGAAGGGGGCACAATTTCTTCCAATGACACCAACGATGGGATACAATTCCTCCCAGTGACACAATTGATAGGGTCCAATGACAGCAATGATGGGGCAGAATTCCTCCCACTGACACCAAACAATGGGGCATTATTTTTTTTTTTCCACTGACGTCGGGACCTTTTCTACTCCCACTGGCCACAGTGCAGCCCTTGTAAAGTCTGAAGGATAGTAAACTGGCCCTTTGTTTAGAAAGTTTGAACCCTTTGCTTGCTTTTATCTGGCTCTTGGGTCACTATTTCATCTACTGATACTAAACAATTGGGTATAATTTCCCCCACTTACAGCGATGAAGGGGGCACAACTCCTTCCAATGACACCAGCGATGGGGCACAATTTTCCCAGTGACACAATTGATAGGGTCCAATGACATCAATGATGGGGTACAATTCCTCCCAGTGACACAATTGATAGGGTCCAATGACATCAATGATGGGGTACATTCCTCCCAGTGACACAAATTTTTACTCCCACTGATAGGGTCCAATGACATTGGGTAAATGATGAGGGCAGAATTCCAATGACCCACTGACACCAAACAATGGGGTTCATTACTTTTTTTCCACTGACGTCGGACCTTTTACTTTTTTTCTACTCCCCACTGGCTGCAGTCCAGCCCTTGTAAAGTCTGAAGGATAGTAAACTGGCCCTTTGTTTAGAAAGTTGAACCCTTTTTTGCATGCTTTTATCTGGCCCTTGGGGCACTATTTCATCTACTGATACCAACAATTGGGTATAATTTCCCCCTTACACTATACAGCAACTCCTTCCAATGAAGGAGGCACAAATCCTTCCAATGACACCAACGATGGGGTACAATTCCTCCCAGTTGACACACAATTGATAGGGTCCAATGACATCAATGATGGGGCAGATTTCCTTCCCACTGACACCAAACAATGGGCATTATTTTTTTTTTTTATGAACCCTTTTTTTTTTTTTCTTAAAAACTGATGTCAGGATATTCTCTACTCCCACTGGCCACAGTCCAGCCCTCGTAAAGTCTGAAGGATAGTTAAGTAACTGGCCCCTTTGTTTAACTGGCCCTTTGTTTAGAAAGTTTGAACCCTTTGCTTGCTTTTATCTGGCCCGTTGGGGCACTACTTCATCTACTGATACCAACAATTGGGTATAATTTCCCCCACTTACAGCGATGAAGGGGCACAACTCCTTCCAATGACACCAACGATGGGGGCACAATTCCTCCCAGTGACACAATTGATAGGGTCCAATGACATCAATGATGGGGCACAATTCCACAATTCCCACTGACACCAAACAATGGGGCATTATTTTTTTCCCACTTACGTCGGGACCTTTTCTACTCCCACTGGCCGCAGTGCAGCCCTTGTAAAGTCTGAAGGGCAGTAAACTGGCCTTTGTTTAGAAAGTTTGAACCCTTTTTTGCTTTTATCTGGCCCTTGGGGCACTATTTCAACTACTGATACCAACAATCGGGTATGATTCTCCCCACTTACAGCGATGAAGGGGGCACAAATCCTTCCAATGACACCAACGTTGGGGTACAATTCCTCCGTATTGACACAATTTGGCGATGGGGCACAATTCCTCCCAGTGACACAATTGATAGGGTCCAATGACATTAATGATGGGGCACAATTCCACCCACTGACACCAAACAAAGGGGCATTATTTTTATTCCACTGACGTCGGGACCTTTTCTACTCCCACAATGGCCGCAGTCCAGCCCTTGTAAAGTCTGAAGGGCAGTAAACTGGCCTTTGTTTAGAAAGTTTGAACCCTTTGCTTGCTTTTATCTGGCCCTTGGGGCACTATTTCATCTACTGATACCAACAATTGGGTATAATTCCCCCCACTTACAGCGATGAAGGGGGCACAACTCCTTTCAATGACACCAACGATGGGGCACAATTCCTCCCAGTGACACAATTGATAGGGTCCAATGACATCAATGATGGGGCACAATTCCTCCCAGTGACACAATTGATAGGGTCCAATGACATCAATGATGGGGTACAATTCCTCCCAGTGACACAAATGATAGGGTTCAATGACAGCAATGATTGGGCAGAATTCCTCCCACTGACACCAAACAATGGAGCATTTTTTTTTCCACCGACGCTGGACCTTTTTTACTCCCACTGGCCACAGTCCAGCCCTCGTAAAGTCTGAAAGATAGTAAACTGGCCCTTTGTTTAGAAAGTATGGACCCTTTGCTTGCTTTTATCTAGCTTTTTTGGCACTATTTCATCTACTGATACCAACAATTGGGTATAATTCCCCCCACTTACAGCAATGAAGGGGGCACAACTCCTTCCAATGACACCAACGATGGGGTACAATTCCTCCCAGTGACACAATTGATAGGGTCCAATGACATCAATGATGGGGTACAATTCCTCCCAGTGACACAAATGATAGGATCCAATGACATCAACAATGGGGCAGAATTCCTCCCACTGACACCAAACAATGGGGCATTATTTTTTTCCCACTGACGTCGGGACGAGCCCTTATCTGAAGGACAGTAAATTCCCCCCACTTACAGCAATGAAGGGGGCACAACTCCTTCCAATGACCCTATGCTTGCTTTTATATGGCCCTTGGGGCACTATTTCATCTACTGATACCAACAATTGGGTATAATTTCCCCTACTTACAGTGATGAAGGGGCACAACTCCTTCCAATGACACCAACGATGGGACACAATTCCTCCCAGTGACACAAATGATAGGGTCCAATGACATCAATGATGGGGCACAATTCCTCCCAGTGACACAAATGATAGGGTCCAATGACATCAATGATGGGGTACAATTCCTCCCAGTGACACAAATGATAGGGTCCAATGACATCAATGATGGGGTACAATTCCTCCCAGTGACACAAATGATAGGGTCCAATGACATCAATGATGGGGGGTACAATTCCTCCCAGTGACACAAATGATAGGGTCCAATGACATCAATGATGGGGCACAATTCCTCCCACTGACACCAAACAATAGGGCATTATTTTTTTCCACTGACGTCGGGACCTTTTTCTACTCCCACTGGCTGCAGTGCAGCCCTTGTAAAGTCTGAAGGATAGTAAACTGGTCCTTTGTTTAGAAAGTTTGAACCCTTTGCTTACCTTTATCTGGCCCTTGGGGCACTATTTCATCTACTGATACTAACAATTGGGTATAATTCCCCCCACTTACAGCGATGAAGGGGGCACAACTCCTTCCAATGACACCAACGATGTGGCACAATTCCTCCCAGTGACACAATGATGGGGTACAATTCCACCCAGTGACACAAATGATAAGATCCAATGACATCAACAATGGTGCAGAATTCCTCCCACTGACACCAAACGATGGGGCATTATTTTTTTTTCCACTGACGTCGGGACCTTTTCTACTCCCACTGGCCGCAGTCCAGCCCTCGTAAAGTCTGAAGGACAGAAAACTGGCCCTTTGTTTAGAAAGTTTGGAGACCACAGGTCTAGTGGATCAGATGGCAGTCAGGTGTAAACGGACAGGCGGTCCAATTACATCCGACCGCCCATAGAGGACAGCAGACTGTGTCTGTGTGCGACACAGACCAGCCATTCGCTTGCTCAGTGGCAATCAGCGTCCAGATCAGGGACCTAAGACTTCCTCACAACGGGAGGAGATGTGAACTAGACAATACTGACCCTCGAGTCCATGACAGATGTAAAATCTAGCTGTGGCTACAAGATGCTGTTACCTGTGTTTCCACTTGCAGCCAAAAAACCCCCCCCAAAAAAACCACAACACGCATTTCATGAAATGATCACATTTAATGAACAAACTCTCATTTTATATACATCTATAAAAAATTCAAATACAGCATGTTAACATCATTTGTGTCATTGTTTTTTTTTTTTACATTTGATTTTTTTTTAATACTAGGACGAACGGTATTAAATACTGAATCTGCAAGGAAGAGGAGCCATTGTACAAAATATGGCGGTTTTCGGAAGGATGGAGGGCGGCCGAGGGAACCTCAACACTGCTACATTCTGGTCCTGCGCTGTCTGTTCCGGTACGAACTTTATAGTACAGAGTTGACCGATAACGAGGCCGGGGCATGAACGAATATACAAAAATGTGAACACAGGCATTAATACTGAAGGGATATCAGTCCTAGCTCTCTTATAGTAAAGACTTGCTAATGGAAGCAACTGACCGTTTCTTCGGGCAGTTCATGAGTTTTGGCGCAAAAGAACCGTAAAAAATGATGTGCGGTCACTAATTATATAATTTCTGTATATTGAAGGAAATTTTGGGTTTGAGAAAAAGACTGAAGTTGTGGATGGATGGGCTGTATTCACCACCGTGCCACACGTGGGCATGAGTAGTAAGAGAAGCACCAAGCTCAAACGGGTGTCATAATTGAAGTTTGCCCAAGGCAGCCATGTCTAGTTATAGCCATGGTAGGAGGCCAACATGGGAACTTTTCTTAGTCGCAAGACCCCTAGGGAAGGTGCCTAATGATCTATCCAACAAGTGAGTCATTCCCGATCTTATATTATTAAAATTATTATTGCCCGAAATTATTAGCTATTTGCACAGGTAGCCTAATTATATTTTGGCTTTGAAATCTGAACTACTGGCAGCTACGATTCCCAACTACTTCATGCCAAGCGGCATATATTGCAACCTCCGAATAGCAGTCAGGCATATTTTAGTATCAAAGGACAAAAAGAATAATTGAGTGCATTGGTTGATAACAGGACTTTTCTAGAAAAAAAAGAAGAAGAAAAGAACAGGACTTTAAGGCTACGTTTACACTAGTCACGTGACTTTGAACACAAAGTCTCAACCCATTGATTTTAATTGAACCCGTTACAATCTATGCGACTTAAAGGCGCAGCGACTTTACGAAGGTTCCTGCACTACTTTGATGTGACTTGAGTGCCAGAGAGTGTAACGTCGCATCCAAGTCGTAATGGAAATCACACGACTTTGGAGTTGCACTAGTTTGAAGGTACAAAATCTAGTTCATTTTGAAAATCCAGACAAACAAAGATAGTGTAGATTGTTGGAGCAAGGGGAATCAAATGTGGTAAATAATTACAGGTACTCTTGTCTTCCGATCTGCCTGTTATCGTGTGGTCTACTTCTGGAATCTCCTGCAGGTTCTACCAACACCATAAGCTTTGAAGACTTCTATAGAGACTTCCACAGTATATAGACTTGTGGACTTCAGGGTCTAGGACAGCCTTTCTCAACCTTCAGGGTCTACGACAGCCTTTCTCAACCTTCAGGGTCTACGACAGCCTTTCTCAACCTTCAGGGTCTAGGACAGCCTTTCTCAACCTTCAGGGTCTAGGACAGCCTTTCTCAACCTTCAGGGTCTACGACAGCCTTTCTCAACCTTCAGGGTCTAAGACAGCTTTTCTCAACCTTCAGGGTCTAGGACAGCCTTTTTCAACCTTCAGGGTCTAGGGCAGCCTTTCTCAACCTTCAGGGTCTAGGACAGCCTTTCTCAACCTTCAGGGTCTAGGACAGCCTTTCTCAACCTTTTTAGCCCAGAGGAGCCTTTAAATTAATCATCAGGTCTTGGGGAACCCCTGCTAAAAGCAGTTCATTGGGGGTCAGTGGGACAAATGATCCCTTACAACCATGGCCAGTGGTGGTCAGAATGTTACCCTTACAGACAGCTTAAAGATCACTGGTGTCATGCAGCTGACTTTGCCAAGTGTCATTGGTCCTGGAACTATGTAGGCACTATTAAACAAGACGTAAATCATCCAAGGACCCCCCCTACCCCAGCAACCTCTGGAGGAATCCTAGGGCTACACGGAATCCCAGTTGAGAATAGCTGGTCTAGGACCTAGAATGGGGAGGAAGAATTTCCCAGATGTTTGTCAAATTTTGACCTTCAGGGAACAGATGGGAAGATGAGAAGATTCCATCAAAGGAATGGAAGTTGAGTTTATACATGACACACACCTACCTTGCCCCCTTTGTTACTGCTTCATCAGTTTACAAGGCCTTGTAAATAAAGTTGCCTGCACATGACTCAATACTTACCCCTCTGGCAGGAAATGAGTCTTTGCTCTCTATAAAAGTTATGGCCTTCAGCAGAATCTTAACATCTGATCTCCTTCCGAGTTTGCCGGATGCTTGGACAATGTGATTCCATCCACCTGCCCCTGCATCACCACAATACAAAGTAATGATGAAGGGGCCCATGAGTACAGCCATTGTGAAACAATATGTGTTTTACACATTCCAGAGTATATCAGATGTGAAGATTCTGCACTGGGTTGTTGCTTTTCAGGGCCCAATTCCCACCAGAGAGGTGCGTTTTAAGAATCTTCTTTTACAGGCAACTTTTTTTAAGAGTTTTTCTTTTAGAAGTAACAGACCTATGACAAGTGAGCAATGAATCCAATTTTTAGTGTCTGTGACTACAGTGCAGTACAACATCAATGGAAATATCCAGAATAGGCATTGCAAGTTATATAAGAGTTGTCAGAACCCTGAAGGCCCTGTCATCACGTTTGGACATGCCTGACCAATATTCCATAGTGTACATTGTAAAAGCTAAGCTGGATTATCACAAAGCTTTCCCTACCTCGATTTATCAAAAAAGTCGAACTTATCCTTTAAGGCAATTCACTGTATATCAGTAAAGAAAGTTTTTATTTTTCTTCAAAAAACACAATATGGCCAACAGTTTGTGGACACCTGACCATTACAGCTGTATGAGTATGTTGGAAATCCCAATCAAAAACTGTGGCAATATGGAGTTGACCCATCTTTGCCATTTTTTTATCCTTCACCCCTCTGGAAAGGCTTCATACAAGATTTTGGAGTGTGCCTGTGGGATTCGACACTCATTTACCCTAGGTTCATATATATGGTTCAACATCAATAGCCGTGCGGGCCACGTTCTGCGCAGGCACGAGCAGGAGCGGACTGACAACTCATGGGGCCCCCAGGCAATAGGAGATCATGGGACCCCTTTGTCCTTGCCCAAACTCAAAAAATCCTATGAAAAAGGTACCAGGGGCATCTCATGGGGCTCCCTACTGACCCCGGGCCCTCGGGCAGTGCCCGAGTTTCCAAATGGTCAGTCCGCTCCTGGGCACGAGAGCCCATTCATGTGAATGGACTCCCGTGCCCCGTGACACGCAGGAAAGAAGTCCCTGCTCTTCTTCTGAAAACACATCCCACACGGGAACCTCGGTTCCCAGTACGGTTGCGTTTTCCAGTGCTGGTGGCGTGCCGTTAGAACTAATTGCACCCACCTGCGGGTCCGCAATTCTCTGTGCGGGTGGTGCGGCTGCACGGATTTTCATGCGGATCCGCAGAGGCACCACCCGCACAGATGTGAACATAGCCTTAGCCACAAGAGCATTTATGAGGTCAGGCATTGATGTTGGATGACAGTATCCTGCTCGCAATCAGTTTTCCAGTTGATCTCAAAGGTGTTCTGTAGGGCGGGGGTCAGGTCACTCAAGATCCTTCACACCAAACTAATTCAAACCCTTTCTTTATGGCTGGGACAGAAAAGTGTCTTCTCCAAACTGATACCATAAGTTTGTCCGAACAGAACCCTTCACTGGATACACCTGAACCCTATCATTTGGTGGGAGATCCACATACTCTTGGCCAAATAATAGATGTCATCATCAGGTGTCCAAGAATATGTGAGTGTCAGTATACCTCGTGGGGGGGGGGGGGGGGGGTATGTACTAGGGGCGGACTGACCATTTGGAAACTTGGGCACTGCCCGAGGGCCCGTGGTGGATCGTACCAGGCCTGACAGCTACGGAGCATATCAGTGACTGTGTGGAGCCACAGGTGTCATGAAGACGCACAGGATACACTATGAGTAACTGGATGACATATGATGCTCTCAGAAGGAACATGGGGTACCAGGGGCGGACTGACCATTTGGAAACTCGGGCACTGCCCGAGGGCCCGGGGTCAGTAGGGGGCCCCATGAGATGCCTCTGGTACCTTTATCATAGGCTTTTTTTTAGTTTGGGCAAGGACACAGGGGCCCCATGACCCCTATTGCCCGGGGGCCCCATGAGTTGTCAGTCCGCCCCTAGTATGTACAATGTATCAGATCAGTCAATCAGAATTATACATTGTATCGGATGACGGTACTCTTATGTTTCTATTAATCTTCCAAATCCTAAACCTTCCATTTGAAAGCCAGAAATCGTTCTCCTCACTTTGTCGGCATAATTTCTGTTCTTTTTTTAATCCTTCTAAATAAGATCACCCAAAATAAACACCAGAAAACAAGCAAAGGATTTCACCCCTGGGATGTTTTCAGCTACAGCTGGCCACAGTCCAAATTTATAGGTCGTACCAATTAAAAGTTAATTG